GCCATGCCTAATCCTTTTCATGAGTAAAGTCCCTTGTTTCAAATTGAAGCGCCGATGTAGAACACACTTGCCACACTCACAGAAATCGGCGACTGCAAGATCACTGAAAGAAAACCGTGTTAACCACGCCAATGAAACCAGCCGAGTTGTCCTCATTGTTTTGGAACTGAAAGCCGGAAATTCCGATTTGGAACGAAACGGAACGAAAAAACAGTGTGCCTAGATTTGAGAGGGTTTCCAATCATTCGATAGCCGCGTTTGAATTACGAACTGCGAGAAGGTGACAAAAAGACAAAAGCGTCGATTGGGCAGGCGTCGTTGCTCTTCCGTTCGCTCGCCCTTCTTTCCACGCGACTACACAACACATGTGCACTTACGACCAATCTGTGCAGGAGCCGTCTCCGTGGTTTTAGTTTCACTTGCTACTTCTTTTAAATCTAGGCTCTTTAAAACAGAATACATAGAGGGATGGACGCATAGCGGCAGTTGGATGGTAACTTGCGCCGCCTAACCACACGGTTTTTTTTTTGTTTTGTTTTTTACTTCAGATTATATTGTTTAAGCCTGTTCACTCAGATTTAACAGCTACCTGTTTATTTATATAAAATAAAATCCCAGGTGCCCTTTTTTCTGCCCCTTTTCTGAGATATACATATATATATATAAAAAAAAGAACATGTGGGTGTGTTAGGTCCTGCTTTTAGCGAGAAAAAAAAAAGTCACGCTTGGCTGCAACTTTAAGTTTCTTGTAACGCTTAGGGTAGATAGATTATGTTGGCATTATAAAACTGGATCTTTAGTGCCCAACGTCCGTCACGACCTGTTTTTCTTTTTCACCAGAACTTTTTTTACATTTTGGCTTTTGTTTTGTACAAGACGTATATTCTGCACCAAGTGCATACTCTGCACATATAATATTCTCATTCTCAGCACACTTTGAAAAATTCCTACAAATAAAATCACTATTCGATATTCGGCTTTTTTTTTCTAAATTTGATTCGGTATTGGCACACCCTTCGTATTTTTCCGTCGGCACTACTAGTTGCAGAATAGTTTAGAGGGTGTAACTGGGCACGAAATTGAGCTTTTCAGCTGAGCATTGGTGTAGCCTCCCAAGTAGAGCCTGCCAATTTCATTGAAATAGTACTTAAAATGTAGACCCTCCAAGGGTCCCCTTAAAGGGATAGTGAAGCGAAACTTGAAATACACCTATTATGGTCAGAAATAGGTTCAATATGATCAATGATATTCATAAATCATAATCCCGCGTTTGTATTTTGAACGGATGGCTATATTTTTCACCCTGATGGGCCCGATTGGGCGCGCGCTCAAAAATCGGCCATCGGAGAGCGCGATGCGTCTTGGGATATTGGGCGCATTCGTGACGTCACTTGTGCCGGTCGGGAAAGGCTACGGCGTGAATGTTGTGGTTACGAGCGTTGCCACCTGGTGGCGCGTCGACGATTTACGACCTGTGACAACGTGGCCGTTTGAGATGTGCAAGGGCTGCACGCACGCTGCATCACGGCAAATCGGCAACCACGGCACCAGTGACAAAAACAGCTCTGATGAGGCCGGGTTCTCAAAGCGAACTCATAACGTGTACGACAAATTTAAGAAAACCCGTATTCTCGAAACGAAATTGTCGTAACTTTTGCGCAGGTTACGACAGAATCCAACGACAGCTCCGAAGCTGTCTTACGCACTTTTTACGATCAAATCAACAAGGTTGACAGCGTCGCTCAGTTACTTGGTATCGGCCACCAACGGACATTTATTTTTCTTCGTGCTCTTCTCGTGCGTCCCGACTTCAACCAGCAAGAAAAAAAGGAAGGAGTACTTAAAACAGACCACGATCAAGAACGCAGGATCCACAAACACACGAGAAGAGCTACAACAGCCACGATTCTGCCGACCGAGCGAGCTCGGCAGAATATAGTAGGCCTAGCAGCAACATCGACTCGGCGCACCGTTGCTCCGGCGGTCCTTGGCCAAAACCGCCTGCCCTAGATCGGCTGGCCTGCTGAATGAAATATGCCCGCGCGACCCTTGTGGACCCTTACCGGATGAGTAGTTTGATCCCTGAACTAAATTTCAGAGGTCAATATTTTCCCCTTGTCATCTCGATCTCCTTGTTTTCCGAGACAGCGGTGACGAACGCTGTCGTCGAAAAGGGACTCTCATTGATTCTATCTCCTTGTTTTGTGTGATATAGAGCTCAAATAAACGCCATACGGATTGCCTTGGCAACTCGGTATGTACACTCTGTTATTAGTATGCCATTTTTATTCTGACTCGACGCTACGTCAGTGTCGAGCTATAGCAGTTCATGGGAGCTACGCGATGTCGGTCTAACTTTTCTTTGCCGAGTGTCATGTCAGTATCGAGTTGCAATCGTAAAAGATCGGTCCAGAAGCGCTTACCGAAACGCGGTCTAACAGAGCGAATCCAGCACTTCGATCAAACGCGCGTGTCCGCTCCGCGTGTGAACAGGTATTTGGAATTTGCGTGGCTCTTGCTGACACCCTCGTAGTTCAAACATATCCTTTTTAACGTCGGCTTGCAGCTCGCGACTCGCAGCAACTAATACCGGCCGTGCCAGAAGCGTGCTCGGGCCGTGTCGTGCACAGAGCCGCAACGAGAACGAGCTCACTGTGGCCAACTACGCTTTGGCTTTCTCCGCCAAGGCTTTGCAAACGCGTTCAGGCCTAGGCGAATTCTGCCGGCACGCCGTATTGCCGCAGAACGGCGCTGCTATTTTGGAACAAGTGATGTCACGAGAACTTCCCCCCATCCACCAGATGAGAATTTGAAATCGTTTAATTATGTTTAAAATTAGTTCTCCTGTGTTTTACAGCGCAATATTTATATTTCCGAGGTGGTGCCTGTTCCTAGCCCATATTTATGCAACAAGATCGGCGCTAAAATTTCGTTTCACTACCCCTTTAAAGTGATGCCCTTTAAGTGTGCAATGGGATGCCCTTTAAGTGTGCAATTTGTAACAATTATGCGGGCTAATTTGTTCAATTTGTTTAGAGATCAAGGTTGCGCCTCCTTGTCATTGCTTGTTCGAACAGCGGGTCTTATGCTCGTGTTTTTTATGTGTCATCCCAACGATGGATACTCTCTCTGTAATAGCCCTCAAGAGAGGGCCGACGGTATTTTCAGATGAATAAATGACCGGTCGTGACCTCATCAGCTGTATTCATTTAGCCCGGTTGCATTCTCCGCAACTTTGACTCGTGCCTGCGTTTCCTCCATCCCGCCCAAAATGAATGCCCAGAGGATGCCTTTATGTAAATGCATTGTCCCACATATTCAGTTGCCTTCTGCCAGCATTTCACATAGAGACGAGGTTCGATTGGCCTGCCACTTGTTTGCAAGCAAGTAGGAAGAACCTTCACCCAACGGGGCTCTTCCATGAACCTCATAAGTCACAAGAAAGCAATCCAGTACCCCAGCACCGAGAAGGAAGGAGACTGGTCACGGTGCAAGAAGAGAAGTGTACCCGAGGTTGCCAATGTGCCATCAAGGACCAGAACTGCGTCAGTGCCCCACAAGGAGAAAGCGTTCCTGCGGGGAGCCACCCTGTCTGGGCAACCGTGAAACCACCCCAAAAAAGCAGGAATTGAGAAGAAGAAATTACGAATTAAGCGATAAAAGAGAAAAAAATATTATTATTTCCTCCACGAGAGAAAAAGAGGGGCATGAAACAGTTCCAGCAGTGGGAATGGTGTTTTTGGTGTGCGGTGAAATCTTTGTTCAGCTGGCCCATCCAAAGAGAAACCTTGGCAATCAAATTTGGAGCACATTTTGCCACTTTTTTTTACATCAATTAATAAAAAGTTAACTGCGGAACTTGATTTCCATCCATGAAATTCAGGCTTGGAACTTTAAACGAAAGCTTTCACACTTTTTCAACTTTTACCTCTAAAAAATTAGGAATATTTGATTTTTCAAACTTGCATCTCAAATAAATTTGAAATGTTTGAATTTTTTTTAATTACCTCCGAAAAAATTATACATCTTGAAACTCAAACTTTCAGAAACCTTACCATTTTCGCATTATTCGCATTCGAACCTCAGGGGGTTCTAGAGTTGCAAACTTTTCACATTTGAACCTTGGCAAGGTTAGAGAATTTTGAAGCTTTTCCAACTCGAACCTCGGGAGGTTGACGGCATCCCTAATCTCAGGCTTGGCAAAGGAAAGGAACGTCAAAACTCACGTTATTAAAAAATTAACAATTGGAATTGAGTCAAGTCTTGCAGTCATTATTAATGCCCTAGACCAACCACTCTAAAAGTTTCATGCAAAAAATATCCAAAAACGAAAAAGAATTATTTTTTACTCCCCACCTCCTTTCTTAAGGGGCACCTGAAAAGAAAGAAATAGAGGTTTTTTTTTTAACCGAACTGGTTGGGACACGCATGTCAAAAAATGAATTTTACGCGAAAAAAAAAAATCATTTTAGAGCAGTATTGATGGCAGCGCGAAACGCGATTTCGTCGGTACTCGGCTCCTTGCTTTCTCTCTGGGCATTTCGGTGGCGTGAAGGAGAGCTGGATGGGCCTTCACAATGACGTGGCGAGAGCAAACGACCATTCTGCGACGTCATGAACTTTGCAATCAGAATATAAAATAAATCTCGCGCCGTCAATATTGCTCTAAAGAACTTTTTTTTTTTTTCATACATTTTTTTTTGGACACAGGTGTCCCAACCAGATTGTTTAAAGAAAAGAGTTTCTTTTCAGGAGCCCTGTGTGGCCCAATTCTTAGCAAAAATGGCACTTTGGCACAAGACGCAGCAGAGTTTCATTCATGGCACAATTTGGTGCAAATGATGCAGCACTTCCATCACTAAAGCACGCCTATAGACAAAGATTTTATGTGACACTTTTCTATCCAGACTTTGTCTCATGCAAGTCAAAAGTGCATTGAAGGGATAAAAACAAAAAAGAGAGGTGCAAGAGGGCAAGAGACAGGCAAAAGAAGCACCTACTTTCGCAGCTGGTTAGAGTTAGTATTGGCAAACTTCCTCCTAAGCAGGGGTGAGAGTTCAGCTGGCCTGGTGAACTTGCGCTGGGCTCCGAGGTGACCCTTTGGCACGGGGCGCACGTCCACCCCCACCTCCCTGCATCCAGACAACAGCCTCGTAACCTCTCCAACAACCCCCTTGTGCCCCTTCCTTTCACACACTACAGTCGAGTCTGCCGACGCGACAGTCTCACCTTTCCTACTACGACACCTCGCTCCCCGCAAAGTCCCTTGCCTCCCACCTCTTGACACCAGTTTCTTTCACCACACACAAATCAAGGCAGCTGTTAAATGTGGAAGCATACCACGAGCTCTATTAACCATCTCCGAGCGACGGCGGCAACCAGTTTAAAAATCTAGAGCCCAATTTATGTTGCTGGCCCGCAATAAAGCGGAGCCTCCTCTACGGGCAGGGAATGAATGAATGAATTTGGAGTTTTCTGGCGCAGCAGCAACATAGGCCATAGTGCGCCAAACACAAGGTAAGGAAATATCACAAGGCTAAACGTTTATTATTGTAGCGGATCAAAATATCAAATATCAATTAAAGAAAACTGTAGTTTAAAGTCGATGTAAAATATTAAACTTTTCTAAAAAGTTAAAAACTTGACTGTACGGAGTAACAGGCTCGTCTCCAAGCAAAAGTGCCAAGTGGAAAGGGATTTGTTTTCTGAAAAAGATTGAAAAGCAAGAGCGGCGTTCGTTATTAAATTGTGGGCATACTAAAAGGATGTGAAGTACACTTAAAGTTTCTGAGCAGTAGTCACACATCGGTGGGTCGTCGTTTCTTAGAAGGTAGCTGTGAGTCAGGTGTGTGTGGTCTATCCTCAGTCGACATAAGATGACCTCATAGAACCTTTCTCGATGTCTGGCGCTGCGCCATTCACTCAAAACAGGTTTAACTTTATATAGCTTATTGTGAGGGTCAGAGTCCCACTCTACTTGCCAAGAATTTTTGATTGTATTTCGTAGTGTGGTTCTATAGTCTGTCACTGGGAGGATGTCAATTTCAATGGACCTGTTTACACAAGCACCTGCAGCTCGGTCGGCTTCCTCATTGCCGTGTATTCCTATATGGCTAGGAACCCAGCAAAAGTGAATAGTGATGTTTTGCTTTATAGCATTCATTAATTTAACACGAAGCAGACAAACAAGGGGATGCTTCCAGGATCTTGCAGAGTTAAGGGCAAGAAGGGAACTGAGCGAGTCTGTAAATATCACAGATAATCTGTATTTTTGTTTGATTATTTCATCTACAATCACTAAGAGTCCATGAAGCTCAGCTGTAAACACAGATGCATTTTCATTAATTCGAATAACACGTTGGTAGGACTGCCCAACCGCAGCACAGCCAGCATACCCGGCACCTTTCGTCCCATCAGTAAAAAAACTTTTGTCCGTCTCGTAACGACTAGCAATCTCAAAAAATTCTTGTTTTATAACACTAGCGGCGGACACTTTCTTATTGTATTTTGTCAAAGAGAGGTCGCATGTTATAGTTAGGTCGTCCCAAGGAGCAAGTCTCTGTTCAGCTTCCATCACAGAACAAGATATGTCAAAACTATAAGTCGCTGCAGCATCCTTCACACGAAGTGCAAAGGGACGTGTTACAGATGGTTTGTTTTGAAAGGCCTGCTCATATTTTATGCTTTCAATCAAAGAAAAATTTGGGTGCTGTGGAAGAGTACGGAGTCTTAAATAGTACTGCATGCTAAGATAAAATCTACGTTTGTCAAGCGACCACTCATTTGACTCGGCATACAAGCTGGGCACGGGGGATGTTCGAAAGGCTCCGGTTGCCAGTCTGATTCCCTGGTGATGAATTGGGTCTAACATTTTAAGTGTAGAGGGTTTGGCAGAACCATAAACAATACTTCCATAATCCAAAAATGAGCGAACACAGGCCCTGTAGATTCGCAAAAGGCAGACACGGTCAGAACCCCATGAACGGTGTGCAAGGACCTTAAGAAGATTCGACTTTCGCTGACATTTTAATCTTAGTTCCTTTATATGTGAGCCAAAAGTTAATTTACTATCGAATATTAGGCCTAAAAACTTATGCTCCGATTTAACCGGAATGGGTGTACCTTTAATATACAATGATGGCTCCGGAGACACTCCTCGTTTTCGAGAAAAGCAAACAGCCACAGTCTTCTCGGCAGAAAACCGGAAGCCATTCTGGTCAGCCCACTTACTCATCCTGTTTACCGTAAGTTGAACTTGTCGCTCACAGATGGCTAAGTTACATGAAGAAAAACAAATCTGGACATCGTCGACGTAAAGAGAATGAGTGATTGTGGGCGGAATTACTTGAGATAGAGAATTTATCTTTATAATAAACAAAGTGACGCTTAAGACACAGCCCTGCGGCACGCCATTCTCCTGGGGGAAAGGGTCGGAGATTGCAGCTCCCAGGCGTACCTGAAAGCTACGATCCTGCAAAAAGTCAGCAATGCAGTTGAACATTCTCAGTTTTATGTTCATCGACATAAGGTCCTGGAGTATGCCGTATCGCCAGGCGGTGTCGTAAGCTTTTTCAAGGTCGAAAAATACAGACAGACAAAATTGCCTATTTATGAAAGCCTCGCGGACCGCCGTCTCAAGACGTACAAGGTGGTCAACAGTAGACCTGGAAGTGCGAAAACCACACTGGAAATTGCTTAGTAGGTTCTTTTCTTCTAGTATGTAGATTAGCCTGTTGTTAACCAGCCGCTCAAAAGTTTTCCCCAAACAGCTAGTAAGGGCAATTGGCCTGTAGCTTGTGGCTTTACTTCTGTCCTTTCCTTGTTTTAAGATGGGGATGACAATAGCCTGTTTCCAGGTGCTAGGAAACTTTCCTTTCGCCCAGATGATGTTAAAAAACTGGAGGAGAATGACTAGAAATGTTTCAGGTAGATGAGAAAGCATGCTAGGGTGAATTGCATCAAGCCCAGGGGATGTAGGCTTTGCAGCAGCAAGGGCTCGACGAAGCTCGACGAGGGAGAAAGGACAATTATATTTTTCAGTGCAATCTTCTGACCTACGAATTGGAATTCTCTCGCGCTTGGACTTAAACTGCAGAAACTCTGCAGTGTAGTTTTCAGAACTAGAGACTTGTGCAAAGTGTCTACCCAGTGCGTTGGCTTGTTCATATAATGATGAAAATGCTTCTCCCTTCTCGTCTAACAGCAAGGGGATTGAGAAAGGATGGTAGTCACCATCCATTCTACCTACTCTGTCCCAGACAATCTTCGCTGGTGTGAAACTATTAATGGAAGATGCATATGAGCAAAAGGATCTCCTTTTCGCCCGTTTCCTAATATAGCGGGCTTTTGCACGTAATTGCTTAAATGCCAGGAGGTTTATGGAAGTGGGATACCTCCTAAATTTTGCCCAAGAACAGTTTTGGCGGTTTCGAGATTCTTTACACTCATTATCCCACCACGGTTTAGGACGTCTCGGCAGCTTGCCGGATGTCTGTGGGATGGACAGACGGGCTGCCTCAACAATTGCTGTTGTTATGAGAGCATTTTTTTCGTCCACGGAGGCCGCTTGCGAAAGATCCAGGGAAGAAGGGATATTTGACTGAAAAAGGTTCCAATCTGCTAAAGAGATCTTCCAACAGGGGGAACGACAAGGCAGCCTGGGCAGGACTTCTAAAAGAGTAAGATATACCGGAAAATGGTCACTTCCATAAGGGTTATCCAATATATTCCAAATAAAATCGGTAAAAAGTGCAGCGGAACAAATTGTGAGGTCAATGCAAGAAAAGGAGTGATTAGCAGAACTGAAATATGTTGGCTCGCCTGTATTTAATACACATACTTCTCTGAGAGATAAAAACCGCGCCACAACGGCACCTCGAGTGTCAGTTCGGACACTGCCCCAGAGGGGGTTGTGTGCATTAAAGTCGCCCATTAAAATAAAAGGTTCAGGGAGCTGATCGATTAAAGTTTCAAGTTGGGCGAGTTCCAGGGCAAATGAAGGGGGGATGTAAATGGAGCAAATTGTAATAAGGCGCTGCTGTAGCAACCTCACCGCAACGGCCTCCAGAGGCGTGTCTAGGGGGACCTCATAGGCAGGAGTGCCATTGTCTACGACAATAGCAACCCCACCGGTAGCGCTAGAAGTAGTCACACGGTCCTTCCTGTAGACTTGATATGATCTAAGAAAGTTGTTGTTGGGTGGTTTGAGGTAAGTCTCTTGCAGGCAAAATGCAGAGGGTTCATGCCTCTGCAACAAGAGCTTCACATCATCTAAATTACTAAAAAGACCTCTGCAGTTCCACTGCATAAAACTCATTATTTAAAAAACAGTAGAGCAAGTATTAAAAAGTTTAAAAACTCGAAAGAGAAAAAAATGAGAATATACCGATCAAAAGGGATCTTCAGGTCTTAAAATCTATCTTAATACGCGGGGCATTTTTCTTCTTCGTAGCTTCCTTCCGTTTCCCAGTGGGACCACTGGGGGCGGAAGAGGAAGACTCAGATCCCGAGAGGAGGGCGTCCTCGTCAGATCTGGGTCCGCTCTCATCCATTGGCTCCTCTGTTGGGGAGGCAATGGCCTCAGGTTGACCTGCAGAGGTCGACTGCTTGGGGGGCTCCCCAGGTTTCCTCTGAGGACCAGAGTTCCGGGATTGGAGGCCCCGGCCCCGAGGGACCGAAGCAGCAGGTGGGGCAGGGGAGGTCATACCCTGCCCTGAGGTGGATGCTGACGCAGCAGCGTCCACCTTGCGGTTTGGAGGCGGTGCCATGGGCACCGCTCCCGAGGTGGACGCTGTTGAGGGAGCATCCACCTTGCGGTTTGGAGGCAGTGCAACTGGCACTGCTCCCGAGGAAAGGGGACCTAACGGGAGACGCAGGTCGTCCGAAGACGTCTGCGTTCCCGTCGACACCATTGACCGTGCCGGACCCCTGTGCACGGCCTGGGCATAAGACCCTTTAGAGATAAATGCAAAGCGCTTCTTTGCATCAATGTAGCTTATATTTTCTTTAATTTTTAGTGCAAGAATTTCTTTTTCTTGTTTCCAGACAGGGCAGGATCTGGAATAGGCAGGGTGGTGGCCTTCACAGTTTGAACACAGAGGTTCACTCTCACATGCTTCAGCAACGTGCTCTT